CAGAGCTGTTCCGAAGAGATCAAGGATCAGCACAGCTGCCCACACAGAACCAAACTCCGCATGGCCCCTCCCCACCGCGGCCACCCAAGCCTGGGCAAGAGAGATGGCGCTTCTTAGAGCAGGAAGATGGAGGCCAGGAGGGACTTTGGCCAGGGCCTGGGAAGAATCTCTCCCTCTCTTTCTCATCACACACACACACACACCCCACACATACAGAGTCCCCTGAGTGCCCCCCTCGGCTCAGCCCCCGTGCCCAGCTCTGCACCGTGTTGAATCCATGCAGCCCAGTGATTTCTTTGCTCCAGTTGAGTACGTTGCAACCCAGAATTCAGAAGCATTGAGCAACGGGTTCAAGCTTGCACAGCCGGTGGTGAGTGGGGAACTGGGTGCCCAGTCTGGGGCTGTGGGCTGGCCTGCTGCACCCAAGAAGGGGAGAGAAAGATGAAGAAGATCATGCACCTGTTCTCGGAGATTCTGGAATAAGGGTGCTGAGGTGAAGGGCTGGGCAGAGGGCAGAGTGCCCGTGGCTGTGGTGGGCCATTGACTCCCCAAGATCGCTCATGGGGAGAGACGGAAACAGACCTGTCTAAGCCATTGCATTTCGGGAAGCCAAACCAATAGTGATGCAAACCCTGCAGACTGAGCCCCTCCTGCCAGGTTCTCGCTCTCTTGCTCTCTCTTCTCTCTCCCCTTTGCCTGTGCACTTGCCTCAGGCTGCAGCCTCACCTCTGGCTGTGTCAATCTTTCTTTTTCCTTCAAGCCCCACCTAAAAAGACCCCCTCCTCCACGATGGCTTCCATGGTTTCTGCTCCCCTGGGAACCCTGAGTTCCATTTTCCTCAAAGCTTCCAGGCTCTCGCTTGCTTCCCACACTGAAATCATCACATCTGATGTGTTACCATTTTCACCGGGTGCCTGTCTGTCTTACTTACTATATTGGAGGTGATATCTGTGTTTGTTTTCCCACAGGGACAGCAATGTACTGAGAAGATGCTCTGATTGGTAGTGCTTGCCAGGCCCAGCAAACCCAGCAGCTGGCCGCAGATGTGTGAGGGGGCCCAGCGGGGATCCAGAGAATCACCCAGCTGAGCTGATCTCCAGTTGCTAACGTGAAGAATCACCAGCTAAGGAAGCGGTTGCTGTTTTAACCGCTGGATTTTGAAGTAGTAACTCCACAAAGGCTCTCACATACACCATCCTTGCCCTCAGAAGGAGCTGAGCTTTCACCTAGAGTGTCCATCCCTCTTTGAATGGGACAGAGAGAGCCGCCTACTCCCTGCTGCCCATCACCCGTGAGCAAGAGCCCCAGATGCCAGCTCTGCTGGCCCCCCTCGTACACGAGTTCAGCTAGACGCCAACAATCCCTTCCCCCCGCACCATCCCACAACCCAGAACAGCCTGTCGGAAACCAGAAGATGTGCACTCACTGGCTCCCTGATGGAAGACGTGGATAAGACTTGGAGTCAGGGGCAGGTGCTCTGGGGCAGTGGGTTAAGCCGCCACCTGCTACACTGGCTGCTCGTATGCGTGCTGGTTCGAATCCCGGCTGCTCTCCCTCTGATCCAGCTCCCTGCTAATGCACTTGGGGAAGCACCAGAAGATGGCCCAAGTGCTTGGGTCCCTGCCACCTGTGTGGGAGACCCGGATAGAGTTCCCGACTTCTGGCTTAGCTTTGGCCTGGCCCCACTGCAGTTGGGGAGTAAATCAATAAATGGAAGATTTCTGGCTCTCCCTGTCTCTCTGTCATTCTGCCTTTCAAATCAATAAATAAACCTGAGAGAGAGGGAGAGAGAGAGAGAGAGAGAGCGAGCGGGAGGGAGGGAGGGAGGGAGAGGCCTAAAGTCTCTGCAGGCTGTGGCTGTCGACCTGACCTAAGGCCGGTTCTCCTGCCTTCGGCTTTGCCTGCCCTGGGAAGCCTTGAGCTGTAGCTGCCCTTTCCCTGTGGAGCCATCAAGGCTTGGTTGCTTTTTCTGTAACCTGCCCAGCCGGGAACGGGAGACTCGCAGCTTCCATCCTGCCGAACGACTGTTTTATGCTGTTAGGTTAGGTTTGATGTTATTTTTGTGGCACACGTATTTGGGGTGGGGAAGAAGGAGACAGCCGTATGTCTTAAACCAAACCTCCTTCAACTTTCGGTTCAAGAGGACGATCTTGCCTGTAACCTGTGAAAGAGGGTATGAGAAACCAAACCCCACCCATTCTGCCCTCTGGATTTGAAGAAGCGAAACTCTGTCGTGGCAAAGGGGCAGTATAGAGAAGGAGCGAGGAAGCGGGACGTGGAACCCCACCACAGCCGCACACAGTGGTGGCGTGTGGCTCCTTGTGTGGCTCCCTTCTAACCAGTTGTGTGACCCTGGACAAGTCACCCAGCCTCTCTGGGACCACCTAGGCCTGGGGCCAGGTTGGAGAGCTGCATGATGACGCTGTACTTCCTGGTTCAGGACATCTGACAGTCTACCGTACACTGGCTGGTGTCTGCTGACTCCATGCCTTCAACAGGCCATGTCCATCTGGTGAGGACCCGATTGTAGTGCTGGTGCCACACACCTGTGTCTCCCCCAGCTGGGGCCACCATCCGAACATCCACACCCACTAGTGACCACTCCATCAGTGAGCTGTGCCTCACGGACAGGGTGTGTGGCCCTGGACAGGTCACTCCACCTCTCTGTGCTGTTCCAAGTTTAGTACATGTGCTGCCGAAGCTCTACCTCTCGGATCTTACACGTCTTCCCGGGACATCTCATGAAACGCTGGCGATGCTGAATCCCCATACACATTGAAGGACAGCATGCATAATGATGCCATGTAACTCACTACATAGAACACGGCAGGTTAATTTTTTTCCTCCATCCCTTTGTGGGGAGTTACGTCTGAAAGTCTCACTTGGTCTCAAGCAGCCACACGGCCTGCTCAGACCTTCTGGGATGCTCTTGTCTTTCGGTTTCGGGCCTTTGACTTCATTCAGTTGTGGGAGGACACCTGGGGACTCTTGTTCTGGTTTCGTGGGAGCCCTTGGTGTTTGTTAAGAGGATGAAATGACACGATGCACATCAAGCGTGGGGTTTCATGCCAAGACCAGGAGGTGCTTGATCAACCCAGAGGTGCGGATGGCTCACTCCTGGTGACAAGGAGCTTGCGTCCTAGCCCTGGCTCGCAGGGCCACTCAGGAATTGTGATGCTGGGGCCAGCAGTGTGGCACAGCAGGTTGAGCCACTACGTGCAATGCTGGCATCCCTCATGGGAACGTAGCCTCAAGTCCTGGTGGCTCTACTTCTGATCCAGCTCCTTGCTAAGGCACCTGGGGAGGCAGAAGATCATGGCCCAAGTACTTGGGTCCCCACCACCCGTGTAGGAGACCCGAATGGAGTCCCATGATCCCTGCTTTGGCGTGGCCCAGTCCTGGCTATTATGGCCTTCTGGGGGAGTGAAGCAGTGGATGGAAGCGCTCTCTTTATTTCTCTCTCTCTCCCTCTCTTTCCTACCCCTACCCTGCCTTTCAAATAAATAAATCTTAAAACATATTGCAGTGCAGGGTGGGTTAATTGTTGGGGTTCCCCAGATCATGTTATTTTGCCACCTGTGGTCACTCTCCCGCTCTCCTCTCTTGTTGGGGACAGGGTGGCAGAGCCTTCTCCCTTGTGCCTCTTCCCTTCCATTGCTGTATGGATCAGAAAAGACTCAGAGAAGTCAGAGAGGCAATCCCTTCCGGTGGGCATGGGGGAGACTTTCCATCCTGGGTGGACGGCTAAGGCAATGCAGCCTGCCACTTCCCTGCTCGTCTGTGAGCAGCCAGGGCTGCCCTCTGTGGACTACATTTCCTAGGCTCCCCTGCACTCTGGACTCTTGGTAGGTTCAGCCTATGGGAGGCACGGGCGCTTGGGAGGGAGAAGCCTGGGTAACTTCCCCACCAGCCCTCTCTGCTTTAGGTGCTGCCTCCTGCCAATGTCCGTGTTTCCTCCATGGCTCCAGCCCTTCTCATCCTTTGTCCTTGCAACCCTAGGGAAGTAGCAGTTCCTGATCTCTGAGCTGCATCACCTTCTCCATCATCCACTGTGGGACCACGTGGCCTGGGCTCTGTATTCCTGTTGGGATCCTGATGGCTGTGGCTACCACAACAGGACCTGTAAACTACTGGTGATTCTTCTTGTCCATAGGTTCCATATCTGCAAAATCAACCAACCATGGATTGAAGATATTTGAAAATAAAATCGGGTCTGTACCGAAAAGACTGTTCCCCTTCGCCATCAAAGCTCTAAACAACACAGTACAACACCTATTTATGTAGCATTTCCGTTGTCAGGTGTTATTAGACACATAGGGATGATTCAAAGTGTAGGGGAAGATTGCTTAGGCTGCATGCAAACCCCGTGCCATTTAAGGGACCTGAGCATCCACTATATGCTGATTCTGGTATTCCCGGGGGTCCTGGAACAAATGCCCCTCGACAACTTTGGGATGGCTGCATCTGAGTGTTCTCACTTCATAACTTCCAGATGTCTATGATTCTGCAAGACAATGTCACGGGATTTTTTTTTTTCCCTAAGGCAACTTCCATACTGACTGTCTCCTAGGGTATGACTGCTTCTACTTTCTCCAGCAGACTCTTGGCAAAACGGGCCGTAGTCATTCCCCCTACATGTATCACATCCCTTTGCAATGTGACTTGGCTGCTCCTGCCATCCAGAGATGGCTCATTTCCACCCGCACCGGTCTTATGACTTGGCCAATAGAACGTGGTACAAGCAAGAGCCAAGGCCTCCAGGGGCTCAGCAGGCTTCCATTTGCTCCCTTGGAAACCTGCTCCACTGCAGGGCAGACAGGCCTGGGCTAGTGTGCAGGGGATGCGTGAACAGGGAAGCAGAAAGGAGCCACACCCCAGCTGAGACCATCGGGGACCAGCTTGTCCCCAGCCAGGCCCAAATGCACGAGCGAGGCCCTGCCCAGCTCAGCAGAACCATTCAGACTCCCTCTAGACGCGTGAGTCACGGTGCACTGTTTTTATTTTAAATTGCTAAGCAGCTCATACACCCCAGTGTACATGATACCAGGCAGCAGAGGATTCCACATTTGCTCCCTGTCCTTATGACTCATCACTCTGCATCCAGCAGTCCCCAGTGGCTGTGGGGATCTCCAAGGCCATAGCGGGGCATCCAACCCAGCTGGCTCCAACCTCAGAGGTCGACAGGAAGGTGTGAGTAGAGGGTTGAGCAACTGTGTCTTCCCGGTCGACTTCACAGGGTGGGTGCTGGACATAATGCCTGGTTCCTGTGGTGCTCCTGGGTGCTATGGGGAAGGGGGGGATGTGGCTGCTCCTTCCACTCTGCTGCACTTAGTGGGAAACTGAGGCAGAGAAAGGCTGCTAGCTGCCTACCCCAATCCCCTTTCCCTTTCTTATCTGTTCAGAGCCTCTGTCCTAGTATGAGAAGCATAGGTTTATGTTTCCTTGCCCGCCCCCCGCAACCCCGGGCCTGGTGAGCAATCTCTGTGGAAATTGTTAGAACAGATCTGGGATCTGGGACCAGGTGGGAGTCACCTCCTCTGCCCTCCCCTCCCTTCCCACTTCCAGGGTTTTTTTTTTTTTTTTTTTTTTTTTTTTTTTTTTTTTTTTGACAGAGTTAGAGAGAGAGAGAAAAAGGTTTTCCTTCCGTTGGTTCACTCCCCAAATGGCCGCTACGGCCGGTGTACTGCACCGATCCGAAGCCAGGAGCCAGGTGCTTCTCCTGGTTTCCCATGCGGGTACAGGGCCCAAGCACTTGGGCCATCCTCCACTGCCTTCCCGGGCCACAGCAGAGAGCTGGACTGGAAGAGGAGCAACCGGGACAGAATCCAGCGCCCCAACCGGGACTAGAACCCGGGGTGCCGGCACCACAGGTGGAGGATTAGCCTAGTGGGCCACAGCACTGACTTCCACTTCCAGTTTCATCTCACACTGGGGAACCTTGAATACGCAGAAATGGTCAGCCCTGCTCCTTCACCCTCCAGCAGTCAGCAGCCTGCATGCCCCCTTCTAGAAGGGAGCATGTGGGATCATCTGTCTGGGTGGGTCCCCTTAGCATCACCAACTCCTTATCCCGTGGGGGAAGAACACAGCCAGGGAGCCAGGTGGGGCTCTGTGGGACCTGCAGCCTGGGCAGGGGTCTCTCTCACTAGGGTGCACGGGCAGTGTCCTGATGTCATTGCAGACGTGGCTCTGTAGGGACACTGGACTTACCCCGCTTCCCAATGAGCCCCATTCCTTCTTCCTTGGAAGGCTCATTTCCCTTTTCCTAGCAATGTCAAGTCCAGGCCATTCCCACCCTCTCTGTCGTATGGCCAACAAGGTTTTCCTCTACAGAAAGCAAAACACCCACGTTGGGTCTGTGCTGGGGCACCCCTTAGAAGGTCGCGAGGCCCCAGAGGGGCCATCTTAGCCCTCCCCGAGCAGATCCCCCTCTTGGGTGCTGCAGGCCTGTGAGTCGCCCACTCCACTCGTGTGACCCTGCCCCCACACCTGCTGGCCCTTCCTGTTTGAGACCACTCTGAGGCTCTCAGTTCCCAGCTGTGTTCTCCCGTCCTGGACCTTCTGCTGCTCAGAATGTCACCCAGGAAATGTGGAGCAGATGTTTTTGGCAAACCACTGGTCTGTGGTTAACCTGTGTGCTCATGGGTGTGGGGTGCACGTGGGGGTTCCTCCCCCCAACCCCACCTTTCCCCAGGCCACCTGGGCTCTTTGGCAGGGTGAGCCACGTATATATTTATAGCAACCATGGGCGTCCTGGAATAAATAACGTGACTAACGACACTGGGGGGATTGTCGGCCCCTAAATTAAACCCCTCACCAGCCCCCTCTGAGGTCAGCAGTCTCAGCTGGCGGCACCAGCTCCAGGGCCTTGACTGGAGCTGAGAAGCTGCTGCTATTACAGACGACAGAGTGAAGTTCTGTGAGGAGTGGGGACTTGACCCCAGCTTTCTGACTCCAGGGACTCCCTGGGCTTCTTGGGGGCCGGGGGGACTCTGCAAATGGCAACTTTTTCCAGCCGGGCTGCTTAAGAGGCTACGCGTTCATAGAGTGCTTCTGCGAGGGAAGAAGTCCCTGGAAGCTGTTCAGAGACCCGAGAAGATCTATGGGATGGAAAAGCATGCCAAGTCCCATGCAGAAGTGAAAGAGGGATGGGGCCAGCGCTGTGGCACAGTGGGTTAAAGCCCCGGCCTGCAACACTTGCATCCCATATGGCTGCTAGTTCATGTCCCAGCTGCTCCACTTCAGATCCAGCTCTCTGCTATGGCCTGGGAAAGCAGTGGAAGATGGCCAAGTGCCATAGGAGACCCGGAAGAAGCTCCTGGCTCCTGGCTTTGGATCAGCTCAGCTCTTGCCATTGTGGTCAATTGGGGAGTGAACCAGTGGATGGAAGACCTCTTTCTCTCTGGCTCTACTTCTCTCAGTAACTCTGTCTTTCAAATAAATAAAATAAATCTTAAAAAAAAAAAAAGTGAAAGAGGGGCTGGCGTTGTGGCAGCTATGGCTGCTTAGGTGTCTGTGACAACTCCACCAGCTCGCTCTCTTCCCCAAGTGAAGAGATCAGGGGTGCCGTGTTTTCCACCTTAAGCGGGTCCCTCAGCTTAGTCTTACTATCTACCTATCTACAACCAGGAGGTAAGAACGGCTAGTTTGGGGCAGTGCTGTGGTGTAGTGGGTAAAGCTGCTACCTACAATGCCAGCATCCCATATGCGCACCAGTTCAAGTCCTGGCTGCTCCACCTCTGATCCAGCTCTCTGCTGTGGCCTCAGAAAGCAGTAGAAAACGGCCCAAGTCCTTGGGCCCCTTCACCTGCATGGGAGACCCTGAAGAAGCTCCAGGCTCCCGACTTCAGATCAGAGCAGCTCAGACTGTTGCAAGCATCTGGGGAGTGAACCAGTGGATGCAGACCTCTCTGCCTCTGCCTCTCTGTAACTCTGTCTTTCAAATAAATATATATTTTTTTCTAAGAAAAGAACAACTAGTTCACAGAGATCTTGCATGCGAAGTACTCCATGGAGGCTGAGTGTGTTAACTGTTAAAATTTGTATCATTACCACCACAGTTCTTTCTTCCAGGAACTTGGGATCTGTTCCCTGAGATTTGGGTCAGCAGATGTAAAACTGGCTTCCTTCATTATTCCCAACATCTTTTGATGTGAAGGGCTCATGGGTTGCTGGGAGAGGGCCAAGAATCACGGAAAGGAAAAGGGGGAGACCTGGAACCTTCTCTTTTGCTTTCTAATTTTTTATTTGAGAGACAGAGAGCCCTATGCTGCGTGTTCCCTTCCCAAATGCCTGGGAGCCGAGAACTCAATCCAGGTCTCCCAGGGGGGTGGCACAGACCTGAGGACTTGAGCCATCACCTATAGGAGGGTGCTGGGATGTCCCAATGGGACCCATTGGGAGTGAGCTGGGATGCAAACCCAGGCACTCCTGTATGATGAGAGCACCCTAAGGGTCGTCGCAACTACTGTGCAAACCTTTCCTTTGGAGGTTGGCGTCAAGGCACCTGGAGAGGCTTGAGATGGCCACCTAAAGCTTGGGGACCTCATCATGATAAAGCACCGAACCTGCTGGGGTCTTTGAACAAAGCCAAGGTCTGTGGGGTTCAGGGGATGCCCTCTGCTTGGCATGTAGCTGAGGACAGACCCACAGAACTGAAGGGCAAGTTCCTGGCAACCACACCCCCACCCCTCTCCAATCCTGCCATCCCCTGTCCTTCCACTGGGCCACATGTTTGCTTCCCTGCCCGACAAGCCTTTTCCTGTCTTACCCACCCAGCAAACTTCTACACATCCATCCTTCAAACCCTGGCTGAGTTCCCACCCCACGGGGGCCCTCTGGCAGCAGCCCCAGGCAGAAGGAAACGCACCATTCCGTGTGCTCCCTGGGCTTGTCCATGCTTCTGCAGAGGCTCCAAAGAGCTCCTCTGGCCTTTCACGATAGGATCCCCACGGCTGACCCTGCTGACCATAGGGACGGCCAGAAACTGCTGAGAACTTGAACCGCACTTAATGCTCTGACCGCACTGCCCTGCGGACCCACACCCGCCGCATCACAGGTGAGACAGACGGGTGTTCAAACGCGGCAGGTGCCTTGGGAAGCCCCGGAGGGAAAGAGACCAGTTTATCCCCCTCTTTCCTGCACCTAGGAGCTGGCAGGTGCTCACTCAAACACCAGATGAAATAAAACATCCCAGGGCACCGATGTACCCAGGTTTATGAAACCATCGCCCTGATGTCGCTGTGACTATTTCCGGCCCCAGCTCCGTCGCCTGGGCTGGATGATTTCCTTTGGGTCGGTTGCTGGGAGTGGAACAACCCGGGCCTCCCCCGCCACGGCTGCCAAGCTTCAGCGCTGCGCCACGTCATCTCCCCTGCCGGCCGCGGCCGCGGGAAGCGGCGAGCGCCTCTGGGCAGCCGGCCCCGCATTCACCTGGACGCGTGGCTGCAGGGCGGCAGCGGCGGCGGCGGCGGCGGCTGCAGGGCTGTGGCCGAGTTAGGCACCCCACGGCGGCCGCCGCCGCCGCATCCCCGCGCGCCCTGCCCCGGCTGCCTCCTTGGCAGCCGCGGGATTCAGCCTGGGGCCGGGCCCAGCCCGCAGGCTTCGCCGTCTGGCCACTTGGCGGCCACCGGCTTCCTTATTTGGAGGGACGGGAGGTGGGGGAGGGAGGCGGCTCCGGGAGGAACACTTAGAGCAGAGGAGGCCCAGGCGGCGGGGAGAGGTGGCCCTGGGTGCCCGTGCGGGGCCGAGCCTCGAGGCCGCCCTCCCTGCGCTCCGGGGTTCTGCTCTCTGCAGCTTCCCATCCTGGGCTCCCAGCTCGCGCTAGCCTGGGGCTGGCCGGCAGCCATGGCCTCCCTCTCCCCACCACATGGACCCCTCTTGCTCTCTGGCTCCTCCCCATTGCATCCCTTTATGTGCGCATCTTCTCCGGGCATCTCCACTCCCACTACAAATATGGGCAGGCCATGGGCTAGCAGCACCGGGATGAGGCTAGCTCAGTGGCGCCCAGTGTGACCCAGGGACACAGACTGGGAGGTGTCCCATTCAATTTTTGTGTGTGCTACGGTTGCCAAGTAAAATCCAGGAGGCCAGTTCCATTTGAATTTCAGATTGGCAATGAATAATATGTTTTTATTTATTTAATTATTTTTATGCAGGGAGGAGAGAGAAGGGGGGGGGAGAGAGAGAGAGGGAGAGAGACAGAGAGAGAAAGAGAAGAGAGAGGAGAGAGATCTTC